CCCAATGACTTCATTTTCACGGTCTCTCTCCAAAAATGTATACACCAATAATATGTGTTTCCTACGTAATAAATACTTGTACTTCTACAGTAACTGCACAACAGTACAGTACAGTAAACTCCTTCTCTTGCCTTCATAACGTTATATCAATATTGCAAGGTGAGTTTCTATTTCGAATTTCAACACATTTTCTACTGATGCTTAGTATTTTCTTTATCTTATTATACTGTACTGTCCTTTTTACGCCGCGAATTTCAAGCAATATGAAGATTGTACCACTTCTACCAAATGAAAATAACACAAAAGTGCATGTACTGACATTTGTCATTCTCACATATAAACATTCTCACAATCTATGGGATATGAAAATGTATAACTATATATATTATATGGTTTTCATATACCATAGGTTCCATATTTTTACAGAAGCAGTTGTGGCATTCAAGTTAAGAGGCTGTTCCATAGGGTTACCAAATCAATTGAAACAGAATGTCTCTGTCAATTTTAGCTATTTTATGAGGATTTTTGTCTTTCGCAAAATTTGATACCGTCCTTTTATATTGCGGAGAACAGACCCCATCGCATTTTGGGGAAAATGGAGAACTTTGGGTAAAACAGCAGGCAAGCGCCACATTTGCCATGACAACGCGTATTGGTTTTATGCGAAAAACAAAAATCATTATTGAGGGTAGCAGAATCCCTTTAAAATTAAACAAAAAACCTGAACATCCTAACTGTCACTGTAGAGTTCTTTTAATTTTTTGTATTCCAAACATTCACATGGTTTACATTACATATTGTGGAAGTTACATAGATCTTAAGAAGCAAGCATTAAGGCCGTAAACAACCTGCAAAACATTAATATTCAGACAGCATCAGACAATTAAACAACCATATTAATAAAAAATGAAACTGTACGTACATAAATACGTTTTATATAAAATAATTTACCGATATCTTAAGCCCCCAAGTAGTTAATTTGCTAGCTTTTGCAATATTGTGCCACACGGGTGAAGGAGGCATCTACATGTAGGCCCCATTCTGGTAACATTTAATGTCCCAACGTGACAAACTGTACATGTACCTTCGTTAGAATTCACCGAAACTTGCTAACGTTATAACAATCTCGCAAGGTGAGTTCAAAGCATTATCTGTTTTCTTGTACTTAATATTTTGTTAAGTTTACATCTTAAAAGTATGCGGGTACCCCATATAGGAAAATGATTGGCCCGATAGCTTTGCCTAATTCTTTAAATATTCCCAATGACTTTAGTTTCACGACCTCTCTGCTAAAATCTAGACACCAAGAATATGTTTCCTACCTAATAAATACTTGTACCTAAACAGTAACTGCACAACAGTACAGTATAGTACAGTACTGTCATTTTTTACGCCGCGAATTTCAACCAATATGAAGATTGTACCACTTCTACCAAATGAAGTCAACACAAAAGTGCATGTACTGACATTTGTCATTCTCACATATAAACATTTTCACAAACTATGGGATATGAAAATGTATAACTATATATATCATATGGTTTTCATATACCATAGGTTCCATATTTTTACAGAAGCAGTTGTGGCATTCAAGTTAAGAGGCTGTTCCATAGGGTTACCAAATCCATTGAAACAGAATGTCTCTGTCAATTTTAGCTATTTTATGATGATTTTTGTCTTTCGCAAAATTTGATACCGTCCTTTAATATTGCGGAGAACAGATCCCATCGCATTTTGGGGAAATGGAGAACTTTGGGTAAAACAGCAGGCAAGCGCCAAATTTGCCATGACAACGCGTATTGGTTTTATGCGAAAACAAAAATCATTATTGAGGGTAGCAGACTTCCTTCAAAATGAAACGAAAGACCTGAACATCCTAACTGTCACTATAGATTTCTTTTAATTATTTTTATTCCAAACATTCACATGGTTTACATTACATATTGTGGAAGTTACATAGATCTTAAGTAGCAAGCATTAAGGCCGTAAACAACCTGCAAAACATTAATATTCAAACAGACAGCATCAGACAATTAAACAACCATATTCGTAAAAAATGAAACTGTACGTACATAAATACGTTTTATATAAAATAATTTACCGATATCTTAAGCCCCCAAGTAGTTAATTTGCTAGCTTTTGCAATATTGTGCCACACGGGTGAGGGAGGCATCTATATGTAGGCCCCATTCTGGTAACATTTAATGTCCCAACGTGACAAACAACTGTACATGTACCTTCGTTAGAATTCACCGAAACTTGCTAACGTTATAACAATCTCGCAAGGTGAGTTTTGATTTCGAAGTTCAAAGCATTATCTGTTTTCTTGTACTTAATATTTTGTTAAGTTTACATCTTATAAAGTATGCGGGTACCCCATATAGGAAAATGATTGGCCCGATAGCTTTGCGTAATTCTTTAAATATTCCCAATGACTTTAGTTTCACGACCTCTCTGCTAAAATCTAGACACCAAGAATATGTTTCCTACCTAATAAATACTTGTACCTAAACAGTAACTGCACAACAGTACAGTATAGTACAGTACAGTCCTTTTTTACGCCGCGAATTTCAAGCAATATGAAAGTTGTACCACTTCTACCAAATGAAATCAACACAAAAGTGCATGTACTGACATTTGTCATTCTCACATATAAACATTTTCACAAACTATGGGATATGAAAATTTATGTCCTACCTGGGCCGCGATTACGTTCGATACGGGTGTTCCGGCCCGTGTGATAACTAGCGGTACGGCCTGGGGGTTCTTAACGCGTACGGCCCGGGGCTTCCAAATGTTCCATAGAACGATTCGAACGCGTTTCGCCCTAACCGCGTGCAACGCTTTCGAAAATTCGAATGCAAAATTCGGACGTTGGAATTGATGTTGTTGCACTTTTTGGGTTTAGGGACACAACTTTCTGCTCATTTTGCATTGAAAGGCGTGTTTTCTTGGGTTGGTATGACATAAATAAAATACAACACGGTGTATTCCGCATCGCCCTCGGTCCCGGCCCTCCCGCGAGTCGGATCGCCCTCCGGCCTGCGGCCGTCGGGCGATCCGACCCGCGGTCGGGCCGATACCTCGGGCGATACGGAATACCCCGTGTTGTATTCTATATGTATAACTATATTTATGTCCTACCTGGGCCGCGATAACGTTCGATACGGGTGTTCCGGCCCGTGTGATAACTAGCGGTACAGCCCGGGGGTTCTTTACGCGTACGGCCCGGCCCTTCCAAATGCTCCATGGAAAGATTCGAACGCGTTTCGCCCTAACCGCTTGCACCGCTTCCGAACGTTCGAATGCAAAATCCGGACGTTGGAATTGATGTTGTTGCGTTTTTTGGGTTTAGGGACACCAAATGTTTGCTCATTTCGCATTGAAAGGCGCGTTTTCGTGGGTGGGTATGACATAAATAAAATACAACACGGTGTATTCCGCATCACCCTCGGTCCCAGCCCTCCCGCGGATCGGATCTCCCTCCGGCCTTCGGCCGTCGGGCGATCCGACCCGCGGTCGGGCTGGTACCTCGGGCGATACGGAATACACCGTGTTGTATTCTATATATATTATATGGTTTTCATATACCATAGGGTCTATAGTTTTACAGAAGCAGTTGTGGCATTCAAGTTAAGAGGCTGTGCCATAGGGTTACCAAATCCATTGAAACAGAATGTCCTTGTCAATCTTAGCTATTTTATGATGATTTTTGTCTTTCGCAAAATTTGATACCGTCCTTTTATATTGCGGAGAACAGATCCCATCGCATTTTGGGGAAAATGGAGAACTTTGGGTAAAACAGCAGGCAAGCGCCACATTTGCCATGACAACGCGTATTGGTTTTATGCGAAAAACAAAAATCATTATTGAGGGTAGCAGAATCCCTTCAAAATTAAACAAAAAACCTGAACATCCTAACTGTCACTATAGATTTCTTTTAATTATTTGGATTCCAAACATTCACATGGTTTACATTACATATCGTGGAAGTTACATAGATCTTAAGTAGCAAGCATTAAGGCCGTAAACAACCTGCAAAACATTAATATTCAAACAGACAGCACCAGACAATTAAACGACCATATTCGGGACCCGTCAAATTGAATGGGAGGGGGGTATAAAATAAAAACGGGTGGCCCCCAATGAGGGACGCATTCGGTTTTAATAGACCCTCTTTTCAATATTACGGTCGCCTTTTTGATTCTCCAGGGGGAACTTAACAAAATGAGCCTTACTAATATACTCTCTACGTAGAAGCCTGTACTATAGTATAGGTATCGTATGTCTTAGATTAAGCATTAATGTCTTATATGTCTTATGCTGATCCAATTTCAATTTATCATTATGTGTAGGTTTTCGGTTTTCTTTTTACATACCCCTAATGGATGAGGTATTGTATTTGTTGTATTACTGTGTCCGTGTTTCTACTCACAAAGCAGGATGGCTTAAATCCGCACAACACAGTATTTATGGGCGAACCCCGTAGTCAAAAGTAGTCCGGGCACAAAGTAGTGCTGCACAATACCAGAGAAGGGTGCAGAGATTGTTTTGTGCATGGCATCGAGATAGAACCTGTGGTAAATGTTAGAGGAATATGTCAGTTTTGAGACTGTAAAAGTTGAATTATGGTGCGTGTTCAGTCGGCGTAGATTTGCGCTTGGATACTTGTCCCGCCTAGTACTGTGCCTCGGCTGCAGTTCCATGACCTCCGCAGTGGCGCTAATAAAAGAGGGCATGAGAAAAGAACTAGCCGGCAAATCTAAGCTCATTTTCACATATTTTGTACACTATACCCTGAAATTAAACATATCAAAAATCTGAAGTGCAAAGTTGCCGAAATCTCAACAACCGTTTGGATTTGTGGAATAAAATTTGGCCAAGTTTCACTAGTTCTATCGTATAAACGAAAAAAACTTCAAGGTCAAGTTCGTTTAACGGGATGAGGTCCGCTTTCTCTGATATCTATTTCTTTTTTCTTTTTTTGTTTAGGTGGCAACATGGGCAGGAAGCTGCGACAGGTACTAATTTTCCTTCTGATCATCCTAAAGGAGCCCAACACGCCAGAATCAAGCTATTTATGTACTTCACGGGCCTGTCAATGTACAGGACAGCGCTCCACCAGCCTCCCTCAGCACCTCCCAACATCAGTCCCCAGATTCAGTTGTGTAAATAACAAGATAACTAGTGTTCCGCGTACTACATTCTCAAATCTAAAATTTCTGCAACAAGTGTGCCTTCAGGGCAACCATATAACTCACATCAAGTCAGGTACATTTTCAAATTTACTTAGCCTCAACAAGTTGACCCTGTCTCGGAATCAAATATCTTACATTTATCCAGGTGCATTTACGAAACTACCCCAGCTTCAAGTTTTAAAGCTGTATAGCAACAAGATAACTGAAATACAGACAGGGACGATTTCAAATCTACTCAGGCTCCGATGGTTGTCATTGCAGTATAATCAGATAACTTCCATAGAGTCACATACGTTCTCAAACCTACCACAGCTAGAATATTTACAGCTGTTCAACAACAAGATAATTCACATCCAGCCATTTTCAAATCTACCCTGGCTCAAAAAGTTGCAACTTAATTGTAACCAGATAACCCACCTCCGGCCACATACATTCTCAAATCTTCCCCGGCTCCAAGAGATGTCACTTTTTTCTAACCGGATATCCCACATCCAATCAGGTGCATTCTCAAATCTTCCCCGGCTCCAAGAGTTGTTACTTTTTTGTAACCAGATAAACCACATCCAACCAGGTGCATTCTCAAATCTACCTGAGCTTCGAAAGTTGTGGCTAACATCCAACAAGATAAGCAGTATTGGGGCCGGCACGTTGTCAATCCAAACGTTAGTACCAGAGTCTAACAAGTTCAGTCACATCCAGTCAGGTACAGGCACAAATTTATCCAACCTCGAGTCTTTGAATCTGGCCTGCAACAGGATTACTTGCATTCCTTTTGGTGAATTCTCAAATCTACCCAAGCTGACATCTTTGGACTTGTCTTTCAATAAGATAACTTACATTCAGTCAGAAACATTCTCAAATCTGCCCAAACTCAAATATTTGCGCCTAAATAACAACCAGATATCCACATTTTCACTGACAGCTTATAGCGTGTTGGCATCTTTTTCTACGGTTAACATTAACAACAACCCCTGGCAGTGTGATTGCAGGATGGTTCCATTTCGGCAAAAAATGATCATAAAATCGCCTTCCCTGATAAAACAGATTACATGTTACCAACCCTCCCACTTCTCCGGACAAACGTTTGAATATATTGATTCCAAAGATCTGAGCTGTGAAGACTCAAAATCAACGCCATTTCTTGATATACCGAAATTGTGTACTTCAACCGTATTGGAAACATCTCCTTCATTTGGTACTACAAGAAGTATCACTAGCCCTAAATCAGGTCCTCTAGACTCCACCTTTGCTACACTTGGAGATGACAGACAAACATCCTCCTCATCGACAGTTCCAATGCCTTTAATTGACACATCTGAAAGTATCACTAGCCCGAAGTCAAGTCCTCTAGACTCTACCGTTGCTACATTACCAGTTGATGCTCAAACTCCATTCACCTCAGTTACATATACAGCATCAACACCTTCATTTAGTGATGCTAAAGGTAGTACTAGTCCAAGATCACATCTAGATCTTACAGGTTACAACTTTACCAGACTGGCTAATAAACAATCTCAACGTGCTAATGACAGCTGTTGCAATGACACTGCCACTTCTCATTATCACTGGTATTTCAAACGCAGTGTCAACTCGGCGTTTGTCAAAGAACCGACTGGGGATACCAATAGGAACAGGAAAATACATGATACAATTCCGGTACCAACTTCAATTCTAATCGCTATCACGGACACTTCACATGAACCAGGTACCAGTCGACTATTATTATTATCTGTTATCATTTGCAGCGGAATAATAACTCTCACTGCCACCATCATCTGGTGGAAAAAGAGTGTTGTTTATCCTCCTTCAGCCCAAAACCTACAATTTGTTTTTCACGCCAACGGTTTATACCCTGTTGGCCATGGTCTGACACATGGTAACACGAGAGGTCAGAACCAACATTCACCTGAATATGAAGACGTTGACAACGATCATGATCAGACAGGGCAGGGCCAGTCTCGCAATAACACTGAATCACACACTAACACCACTGAAGCATTAGTGACCAGTGGACATGATCAGACAGGACAGTGCCAGTCTCACAACAACACAGAATCACACACAAACACCACAGATGCAGTAGGGGCCACTGGACATGCTCAGACAATACAGGATCAGTACAGGCCCAGCATTGAAATCCTGGGCGCAAAAAAGAATCCATATTACGGGACACATGAGACTGCCTCAGGGCTAAATGCCGAGTACAGTGTTAGCCAGTCTCAAGCCAGTTCTGACTCCAACACAAACCCAAAATCTACCGTAGTGACCGGTGATCAGACAGGGCAGAGTCAGTATAAGGTGCAGGCTGGCGTTGAGGTCTTGGATGTAAGAAATCCATATTATAGTAGAGGCAAGACTGCATCAAAGCTGAACCCGGAGTATGGTGTCATGGGCCAGTCTTAAACTGTTACTGAATCCAACATAAAACCCATGGCTGATGATGTGACCAATGCTCATTATCCGACAAGTCATCACTGGGTGCTTGGATACATAATAAACCCATAACAAAGGATAGGTCAGAAAATACTAATTCTCAAGTCGTGCACCAGTTTTGAGCCTACTAACCCCAACACAACCCTAGCTTTCCTCTAGTGACCAGTTGACTTGATTATACAAGGAAGGGTCAAAGCCTAAGGTCATCACTTATACCTTGTAGTAAAAAGACATATTATAGCAAAGCTATAGCCTGTCTCAAAGATGAATGTCGTGGGATAGCCTCAGGCCACTTGTGAACCCAACACTAACCCCGATACTGTTGTAGTAACCAGTGAGCATAATCTGATCAGTATGAAATATCACTGAATCAAAAAAAATATTTTAAAAATCTATATCACACGACAAAAAAGGACTGCCCTGAAACTAAACTCTGTGTACACGCCATGGACCAGCAGTCTAAAACCATTCAGTGAACTGAAATTAATTGTTACAGAAACAGCACAGTTTCTCATCCATTGTTACTATTTGATTTGGTACCGTTATGATATTGATCAAATTATTGTTTTTTATATTACTTATTGTTATTAAAATTACTTATTGTTTTTTATTATTACTATTTGATTTGTTACCATTATTACATTTGTCAATTAATTTAGTCGGGGGAAGATCACGGACAAGCCATTATGGCTTTTTATCTTTCCCCTGCATATCCTATTTTACTGTAATATGTTCATTTTATTGTTCTTCTCTTTGATTATATGCGAATAAATAAATAAATGAATAAATAAAAAAATACTCTAGAAGTTAGTGATCAGTGATTAGACAGAGCGTTAGGTCAGTTTAAGGTCAAAACTGAATCACTGCAAATGTTTGAAAGCTAAATTATATGTACAAAGCCGTTCTAATTGATTATATTGATGACCATTGTCATGTTAGTGAATATGGAATATGGTGATCCTGGCTTTTTTTATGAATTATCTTCGTAATGTACAGCCATGTAAAAAAAAATGTATTTGGCTACATGTAGAGCTAACATACAAGTGTGTGTGGCCTTGCCGAAGCTCTCTTCAACCAGTAACTTGATATCAGTTCTAATTAATGTAGTAATATTATTAGAATGTTGAGAATGATTTCCACTCTTTGTTACGTTTTAAATGTATTTTTTAAGAACTATTGATGTTTTATGGCGCCGGTGAAATGTTTTTTTGTGTAAATGAGGATGCAATAGTTGAAATTTTTGACTGTCACAGTAATTGTCTAGGGAAATAAAAAATTCCTTCTCAAGTAACTACGTGCGATGCACCCTGAAGCAACTTTGGTGGCTTGTTATTATATATTATTCTGTGTGCATAGGATTCGTAATAAAATGTTGTTGTGTTAAACTTTCTGTTTCATTTCTGTGCCCATACAACATAGATGTAATGTCTTAGGCCACACCAGTTCTCGGATTTTTTTAGAACAAATATGACGCAGCAATAGGGCGAAAAAACTATAAAAAATAAAAACACGTCTAGTCATCCTTTCATAGCCCTAAATGCTAGTATAGGAGCCATGAAGTCAACACAAAAGGCTGGATTAATATTCAAACAATGAATTTTGAACTTTTATTAATCCAGCATTGATAGATGAAATAACTAAAAACTAGGAAGGACTTTCATGAACTGTTGGGGGTAGAATATGAGCATTTTTTAGTTGATTCAGAGCCAGAATTTTTTTTTGGCAAATCAGAAAAAAATCAAGAGGCGAATGCGAGAACCAACAAGTCAAATTGGTGTGGCCTTATATGATAACGTTCGATCTTATCTCGACGCCACGCCTCCCAAAAAACCAAGCTTTTTTTTAACAAGCAATGTTAACATAGAGGAGCCATCAAGGTCTAACACAGGTGAAACAATAAAATCCGTAAATAATTTCATCAGGTTGGTAAACGAATGAATAGCAAAGTTCTTTAATCACAACCATTTATTTTTACGAGCTGACATTTCGAAGACCGTCTGTCATCTTCATCAGGGCAATTCTGATTGGTTTACTGTGCACTGACTCTAGATGTTACTTGATAATACCCTGTCAATCAAAACCCTGAGATTAATTCTCCACCCACTCCCAACTCTTGATGTTTAGTTCAAGATACATCAAAACGCCAAGCCAAGAAAAAGACATTTGGTTTCAGACTGTCATCTGACTAAAACTGGGCCCTCTGCACAAGCGCCTAATACAGACCTTTGTCTTGAACGATCTGTGGTCCCCTACATGCTGTAATGATTTCCCTAGCAGTATTACCATGAGGTAAAACAGAGCCTGTGTCTGTGTGCGCGCGCGCGCGAGCATCCAACTATCAACAAGACTGGCAATGAAAACATACACTGCCATGGCGACGGTGGTTACTGTTATAGTTATTGTTTGTATGGCACTGCCATCATTTTAAGATTTTGAGGAAGACTTGGTACCTGTAAAGTCTAGACAGATACAGTGCACTTCTCCCGAGTGTATAGTGAACGAGCCCCCGTGTTACAGAAAGAAAGCCATCCGGGGAAAAGAGGTCTTCCCAAGGGTTTCCAGGAATGTGGGAATATGTGATGTGTGTCAGAGACATGCCTGTGGACATTCCATTCCTAGGATCCTGTGGACAAAATGCCTGTACAATTCCTACAATTCTGCACAGAATACTGTACCATTAGACTCCTCCCTGAGACGTCGCCAAAAAGAAGTAACTAATCTTATTAGAAGTACTAGTACCAATGCTCGATTAAGTCTTCGCCATTCCCTTTATTCCATCCTTAAATACAGCCCGGCGCCATCATTCAGAACATTTCCTAACGTTCTATCCCATAGAATCCCTTTTTCATCAGTTCCCATCCATTCCTTTCGACATTGTCTACTAGACGTATAACTTTCTTAGTCCTTCATTTCTGTATAATTCTGCACGAAGTTTTCATTCGTTAACAACCCTCTGACTTTCCCTACCGTCTTTCTCTTAAGTTTCTCAAAATCTCAGTGCTTCTCTTGAAAGCCCAGTGAAGGTGAAAAATGTGAAATAAAAACATAACGTGTGTGCCACCTGTATAAAAAAGGGCAATGGAATGTATGTTGTATGGTTTTGTTTCTACTAGTTACTTACGGGAGCGGAAGTATTGTTTTGGGTGGCGCTGGGAATTCGGTTTGTTTGTTCGGGTTCCGCAGTTAAAAGGATCATGTAATAGTAAAGTAGCTTATGAGTAATAATCCATAGTTTAATGTACTGTGTAATTCATCCAAGGCTAATAAACAAAGTTGGATGTATGGAGGGTGAGAGGTATTGCGTATGTCAAACAACCACCTCAACAGTCTCAGTGATGGAAACCCCAAAACACTTGCTAGAACTCTGAAATCTCCAATTTCGTGTCTCTGGATATTAGCTAATGACCTGAGGCCCTTATGATCGGAAGCATGACCATATAGTCTCCCTCTCCTTGGGAACACGTGCTTCCCACGTGATCGTGCACGTGCTCAACGCCTGACCGCATTCTGCACACATGATTGGTCCGTTCTGTCGTGACGTCATCATCTCTTCTATCACGTAGGGAAAGGTTCCTGATCTGACGCCATCTTTGATTGTACCCATTTTGATACGAATTCGTGGTCTGCGAATTCGGCACTGATTGATTGTTCAGCGGCGCTGACTGCGATGTCCTGGCAGAGATCAGCATATACTCCTCACATGTCCGAATAAGTCTAGCGGTTTCCTCGTCCAATCCATGCCCATAACCCTCGCTGTTTCCTTGGTTGTTATAGAAGGGTGATTTTCCCTTTCTCTCCTTCTTGGGTAGCTGAGGGGGGATGTGACTTCTCACAGCGTCTTGTATGGACGTATTTGTTGTAAGGAGGGTGTCTGTGTGTGCGTGTGAGGTGTGATAGTGCCATTTTAAAAGTCTTGTGCGGAAGTTATTTCAATACTGGGTACAGTTGACGACGCATGTGTTCTATCATTAGCTACGGATAGAAGTCTCAAATCGTGTGAAACGGTATGAACTCTCGTGTTATCTGATGTACGGTGGTTGTAATGCTTGCTCTCAAATGACGGACCGCCTTTCTGCTTTCCTACAACTCTGCACGTTTCCGGTAGGGGGCGTTCTTCTACGGCAATGACTGCTCCATTCTCTGTTGGAGGGGGTTCCCCTTTTACTGTAGGTTGTGAAGAAGATACAAATACCCCGGAACAGTCGGAAAGAGGTCTTCTTAATCTGGGAGAGCCAAGCCTAGGAGAGCATGAACCGCCTCTTCTTGGCACTTCGAGAAACTTTGACCCTGTGGACTGACACACCATTGCACTTTCATAACCTCCCGACAGGGGGCGTCCCACACTCTGCAGAGACTCCACACTCGAACCAGACTCGTAGGAGTAGGTGCTGGCTGAGTCGTACCCGTCGCTGGCGAATTGCCTCTGTAGTTTTAGGTCCTCTATTTCCTCGTAGACGTGCAGAAACTGGCGGAGAACGTCCACGTCAAGTGATATCAGGTCAATCTGGGAAAACAGAAGCGAAAAGAACAGGTATGAAAGTTTGGCATTGAAAAAAATGGTAAAATTCACAGATTAAGAATAAGGCCACATTAATCAATTTTTATGGATGACATCAGCGCGCGCATTAATTTTCGCCTTATTTTGAAAAAAAAAAATTTTGTTGCCCTCTGACAGTGGTCAACATGCAAAGATGTCTGTCACTATGGGCAAAGGTGTCTGTCACCATGCCAGAACGTGGATGGCAGATAGATATGAAGAGAGGAGATAAGACAAGGCTCTGATTTAATGTTATGTCCTTTACTTTAATTTGATGCATGCAGTGATGTATTTCATTCCTATTATATGTGATGGTGGCTGTGCGAAGTAAGCACCAAACCTGTACAATAGTTCAGATTTATGCGACATTGTGACCAATCCTTGCTGTGATGATTGACAACGAAGCTCTCTTTTGGGTCCTGTTAATTAGGGGTGTCGTGTTCTCACAGTATGACATGTAATTCATGTTATACATGTCATGACAATTGCCTGGGAGACCGGGATAGTTGTATAACATTGCTGAATCACAGTAGTCGGTGCACCAAACCTTATTTGTTAGAGTTTATTACGTGTAACAAATACATGTACAAGCGGAAACCAGATTTAACGTGCCTCGCTAGACTAAAGATGACTAAACGGTTTCTCTCCAATCAATTTTACTTCTATAATGCAACAAAAGCGGGGGCACAAAGAGAAAAAAAGCTGGAATAATTTCAAAATGAAATCCTATTTTTCACGGAGGAATGGCGATTATACAAAATGGCGGCACAATGGCGGCCCCGCGGATCTGTCGTCAAGGGACCAGACACCTTTATAATTATATCACCTTTGTCCGACCATAATGACGTTTTTTCACGGTGAATCTACCCAAGAGACAGCTATTTTGTATCGTGCCGTCACCATTGTGGCTGAAAATAAATATTTAGGAGATTTTGAGGGAAATCTCTGTCCAACATGGCGCTCCTCTGCAGTTAAAAGCGATGACAATACTAGTACTCAAAAAGTTTCGATCTTGTTCTCGTACTTGCAAGTTATGCAATGTCCTTGGTACTAACAAGTACTAACTACTAACTTGTGGCGGCCCGGAACCCACGGGTCCTGGATTCGATTCCACCTACATAGTCCTGCCACAAGTCCTGCATATCAGTGACTGGTCGATGTTTAAAGTTCCAGCTTCTTCCAGCCTCAGCTTCCGCCTAGCCCTTTTCTCAGTGAGGATGTCTCGTCTCCTGGCTTCAAAAGAGGAGACGGCTTTGTGGACGGTGTGTCGCCAGGTAACACGGTCAGCGGCCAAGGTAGACCACTGTCGGTGATTGATCTGGCATGCATTTAGAGTTGACTTGAGGTAGTCTTTGTACCTCTTCTTGGGAGCTCCTACGTCTCGGTGCCCTGAGGCCAGTTCTCCATACAGCACAATCTTGGGGAGACGATGTTCTTTCATTCTTGAGACATGTCCGGCCCAACGCAGTTGAGTTTTCAGGAGCATGGCCTCGATGCTGCACGTACCTGCTTTCTCAAGCACTTCGACATTGGTAACAAAGTCACTCCAGTGAATCTTGAGAATGGAGCGGAGGTAGCGTTGGTGAAAGCGCTCGAGGAGTCGTAGGTGTCGGCGGTAGATGACCCATGCTTCTGCGCCATACAGGAGTGTAGTCACTACAACTGTTCTATACACACTGGTCTTTCTTTAGGTTTCTGTTGCTCCAGACTCTCTTGTAAAGCCTCCCAAATGCACTATTTGCTTTTGACAGTCTGGTGTCTATTTCCTTGTCGAGCTTGCCATCTGAGGTAATTGTGCTCCCGAGGTAGGTGAAGATGTGGACTGGTTTTAGTTGAGACTGGCCAATAGAGATTTGTGGTGGACGGTACGCTTCCTTTGGTGGGGGCTGGTACAAGACTTTTGTCTTTTTTAGGCTGACTTCCAGACCAAAGAGACGTGCAGCCTCGTCAAAGCAGGTAGTTATACGCTGTAGAGCATACTGCTTAGGAAGATTGTGAAAAGGGTCGGTGCGAGCACACAGCCCTGCTTGACGCCATTTTGGATTGGAAATTTTCCTGACAGATCATTTTCGTACCTGACTTGGCCAAACTGGTTTTCGTGGAGCTGGATGATCATGTTCAAGAACTTCGGCGGGCACCCAAGTCGTTGCAATATTTGCCAGAGACCATCTCTAGACACAGTATCAAATGCCTTCGTGAGATCCACGAACGCTATGTACAGTCCCTTGTTTTGTTCGCGACATTTGCAATTGACGAAGGACAAACACCATGTCTGCTGTTCTCGAATACCATGTCACCTACTTACTAATAGTCTTCTACCACTCCTTGACCCCTGTGTGTGTGTTTGCGTGTTTATGTGTGTGTTTGTAATAGTACTTTCCTTACGAAAACACAATAGATTAGCTTTATTATCACTATGGACTAGCTCTGTTAGTAGAATTATATTTTAGTTCATGTATCTACCCGTTTCTTCTTTTTTTTTGCCATACATTGTACCAGTTACAGTTGTTGAGCAATAAAGTTTATTTGATTAGATCTATATACGGTTGCTATTGGGCTAAAGGACCGTCCCATCTCCACATGCATAAAAACTTTTTTCCGTCTGTTTCGAGTGAGGCTTATGGGATTCCAATACAACGCTTTCCGCTCAAAATACGACTTTCATCAAGTAATTATAAGCGTGTCATTGGCCATTCGACCAATTCTTATGTTCTATAAAATTAGCGCGTTCTCGAGCATTGGTCCTTTGACTAACCTTGGCACACTTCAGTGCTTCCGGTTGCTAGGCACCTAGTAGGTAATGCGTCGACAGGCAGCCGGAGGTGTTTGTACAAGTCATTACACAGTCTGTGGGAGGTCCATGACGGTCCATGTAAACTGTACCCGTGACTCACACATCTCACAATGACGGCCTACCTAGCTGCTGTTTCACTGCTGTGTCTGTTGGCCACTGTACAGTCGCAGGACATAGGTACGATACTTACACATTTTATTCTCAAATTTGATAATGGTATATTCGATTCAAATTGAAATTCATTGACATCAATCCCCATATGGCCACCGAAGGCTGAACTGGGGTCGTGTGGCGTAATGGCAGACTCGGAACCAAGAGGTCGCGGGTTCGAGCCCTGCCATGCCACCGATCTTGTGCCCTTGGGAAAGGCACTTCACACGGCTTTCCTCACTTAACTCAGCTTAAAAGGAGTATCGTATTGTATTGTATTGTAAAACATTAATTACAGTATAAACATAGCACATTAACTGGATATAATTATTTTAGTATATAAAACCTATATAAAATATTTCGAAGGCACATATTTTCAAACATCAATAAACACTTAGTGAAGAGAAGTGAACAAATGATACGTGACAAAGGTAAATGACTTTACTACTGTAACATATGGAGGGTAACTAAAGGTAGAAAAGAACTGTTAATGATTAGCTATGGATAGTGTACATTACAGCCTCATTCAAACAATAAACAAGTAAATGGTTCAATAGATTGTAGTTAAATTATAGGATCTTGAACTTTTTTCAACCTATCTTGAACAGAATATTATCTTGAAACTTGTGGAATGTAATGTTCGTATTGAGGAACGATTATTATAATCCGTAAAACTACTGAAACCTGATTAGAAAACTTAGTTAATAAAAAATATAAAATAAGAAAGACAACCATTTCTTCGTATTTGTGAGATATTTGATACACTACATATATGCGAATTAGAAAGGGTACAATTTTTGCTTAATTCTTATTTGCGAGTCGTGTGGCTCACTCGAGCTCGGTAGCGCATTCGGCTCACACCCAAGAGGTCGCGGGTTCAAATCCTACCCATGTCACCGATTGTGTGCCCTTGTGACTTTCCTCACTTCACTCAGGTGAAAATGAGTACCTAGCTTCGGTTAGGGACGTCCCTCGGTTAGGGACGCTAAATGGAGGTCCCGTGTTTGGGGAGAGCCACACCCCACGCACGTTAAAGAACCCACCGCACTTATTGAAAAGAATAGGGGACCTTCCCGGTGTGAATGTCATGTATTTGTAACGTGAGGGACATGAGTGTACAGACGTAATAATTAATTAACTTGGTCAGGATTAGCTGACTCCGTGAAAACTGTTTATTTATTTATTTATTTTCATTTAGCACATACATACATAATAAAAAAATAATACAAAATAATACAAAAGAAAAAAATGTGCAAGGCCAGGAAGAAAAGGCGCAATGGTTTACACACGAGCTTTTAAGTAAACAGTCTTTTCATTGACTACCAGGGTCTATTTAGACTGTTCCAAGAACTCACAGCTCAGCGTTTCCGATGTAATTATAAACACTAATCCGCATTATCAGCGTTTGTGTCTGTCTCCGTTTCTGTCGAGAATTTGACTCCTTTGTCCGACTCCTCTACATATTCAAATACTGTCTAGATAATATTTACATAAAATGTTACTCAGAGTTCCGGCTGCTACAAAAAAAAAATTGCGTCGTGTGAAAATTCCCAGCTGACATGAGGAGACGTGTTTGCACCGGACAAACGCGAGCTACCAGTTCTGTTAAAATGCTGAAAATAGATCAAACAAATTAATGTAGTATGTCAACACCCCTCTCCCCGAAACTCCAACCCTGGCCTGAAATCAGAGCTAAGCCTAGCTTTCTTCGCCAAATCGAATGAATGAAAAAAAAAACGTAAAAAAAAACGTTGCATTGGTTGTCTGATTTGGCTACATATCATATTAATATTTATTAACTCAACAGGTTGAAATGAATTTTTTGTCAAGAAAGGGTATTAAAATGCATATAACACACTTTGTCACTGTACCTAAACTATTCTATAAGTTAAGCCAGACACAAACTTTTTTTTCTTATTTTCATTACCTTCAATCTCAAAATATACCATACAACATGGAACAAAATGCTATCCTACAAAAGGAAATATACGATTTGAAAGACTATCCAGTGTTCTCAAATATGGTAACATACTAAAACAAAGTTAGGTTAAATTCTTTTCCCCATGTGTTGTGGCTAACAGGTTGCCCGGATGCTGACCCTACCTTGACCCCGTGGAACCCCGGCCATGATTGGACGGCGCAGGTGGTTGTGGGAAGGGGAGAGTACTACCTCCTGCAGTCTTCAGCCGCGTTCTTCTCACTGGAAATCAAAGATGGAGGTATTTGATCATCTTTGATTGATCTTGATAGTTTGTTTATGTTGGTGGAATTCATTCTGAAGCAGGCTTTAAGCTTGAGTCACATTTTAAACGGGGTCTACGCGGTATATTCTTGATGTAAACGCCGGCCGCCGGAGTCATGAAGCCGGGCGTAACCCGGTTGTCGCCGCGCGGGCCTCGATTTTGAATGGTGACCTAGGCTTTAACAGTGCCCACTTTTGACTGTACATCACCAGTCTTAAAGGCACCAAAGCGATTTCCTGGTCCTTTTTTCATGTGCTAAGTCGAATTGCCAATATCCCATAGCATACTTATCAGGCAAAATGCTATCTTGCGGACGGAAAACGGTTAATTGTTTCTTATCGTAGGTTGATTGTAGCTATTTATTGGTGGTACCAAAAATATAATGGACTTCTTGCGTAGCTTTTTTTTTGTGCTATAGCTATTTCAAACGCTAAAATACTTCTTATAGTTGATAAGAGGACATTTTGAATGTGTAGGAAGGTTGTTAATTCCTTGTTACTTAGAGTCAAAATGTATAAAAAAAATAACGTTTAATGTATACGTACCTCCCTGTACAGGTAGGGTTGTGTTTGCTGATCCTGGTCCCTCCAGTGACACTGAAATCACCCTGTCCTCGCGTGAAATCACGGTCAGCGCGGACGGAGAGTTCCACATCGGCAGTGAGACGTGTCCGTACCAGGGGAGGGCCACGGTGACTCTGTACGGCCGCTCAGATGACCAGCGAAACAGCAAACAGTTTCTGGTGGCGCCCGGTGGGACTTTGGAGGTCCACGGGAGACGCAAGCTGGGCTGGACACAGCTGACACAGACCGTGCCTGCTGGAGGGCTTCCTAAGGTAGGCTACACGCTAGCCTGGTCTCAAATTAATCAATTAATCAATTAATCAATTAATCAATTAATCAATTAATCAATTAATCAATTAATCAATTAATCAATTAATCAATTAATCAATTAATCAATTAATCAATTAATCAATTAATCAATTAATCAATTAATCAATTAATCAAATGGTTTATTTGTGAAAACATGGAAGAACTTGTAGCCGTTGGCTAAATTGTGTCTTGCTGTACAATTTGATTTCTGGACATATTTAGCATAACACATTAAAATTGCTAAGTTATTAGATAAAATCCATATCATTATACATTAAATACCTAAAATTATTACCATTATATACATAGTAAAACAAAATATATCGTGGTTTGGTCAGGTTCTCTTCGGTGTCCTGTAGGTTTCCACCCGGCCAGCTCAACTGGCCGCCCGGTGGAGTTTTGCGCCTACGGGAGTTTTGCACGGCAGGAACTCTCGTTGTGCAAAAACCTACCGGGGAGCCTAGCTGAATCGTGTGGCGAAGGGCTACTGCAGCCCCGAAGAAAGCCGGCCTAAACCACGATAGCCTGAAATCATAGTCTTGGTGCACTTATTATCAAATGGCACAATATCATCACAACATTGTACGTTAAAATATATGCGGTAAAACAGTACATATTTTGTAAAAAAAAATAGGTGCCTTGGAATATTTTATAATCTTTCAGGCACGAAAAGCTTTTATCTAATTTACTTATAATTATGTCTTAAGTCCTTTATTGACTTATCCGCTTTGACATATTTCGCTAAAAACGTACCCCCTTGCAGTTCTAGAACAATATGATGGGCTGATCAAACCGATACAATACTACTGACATGAAAAACATCAAGACCATGGCATGTACCAAACAAAAGATACCAAAACCAGAGTTTCTGCTGCAGTAGCAAGGAAAGCTGCTAGTAGACCCATAGTCTACATTTTTGTACCCTGACTCTCGTCTTCCAAGACTTAAACAGAGTCTAAGGCTTCTTCAGTTATACTGACCCCAATACGCGGAAAGTTCTGGACTAACATGGTTTAAGAGAGCACAAAGCACAAAGTAGCACAAGCATGGCAAAATTTCTGCGCCCTTACTATTGCTGTTGAACCACAGGGTACCTACATCTGGGACTCGGCGCCTATGTGGACACGTGGCATTCACGTCCGAGTCTTTGACGAGGTCTCCGGACAACACATCGGTACGGACAGGTTCGACACGGTGAACAGCGCGGAGGAGAGCCTGCGTCTGGCGGCCTTCATCGACCAGCTTCCCGCAGGGAGGATCGTGGCACTCGCTGTGTTGAACACCGCTCATGCAAAACTGGACGACACGGCAAAACAGAGGATAAGAGAACTAGGAAGTGTTGAGGTGGACCTCATGGGACACAGGTAACTGACGCTTACATACCAGCATTTCTCTCGATAGATTCATTAAGCAAAGACAAAGACATGTTCATATTGACAAGTACCCCTGCAAGAACATTGCAATCATACTACGAGGCTAAATCTACAGTACAAAAGAGTAGGATGATCATGTTTTCTTACAATCAGTATTGGTGAAATTTCTAGCGTTTACCTATTAGTAAGTATACTGATTCAAGGTTGTATATATTATTCTGCAGGCATCCCTGGGCGATGGTCAGTGTGAAGGGAGATCCTAGTGTTGCTGTAGAACAACGGCTCCCATACGTGGGTACGTGCACATCAATCTAGTAGACAGAATCTATTACTCGTACACAGATAAAGACGGCCCAAAGCGACATTTTATCCTCTAATTTTTTCTTTCCTATTTCTTTCTTTGTGCAATTATTTTCGCTGCTACTTTTTCCCTGCAAGAACAACCTTTCTCTCTCTTTTTTCAATCATCGTTGGGTCTTTTTTCGAACATTTTGCGAGCTTTTTCTTTTGCTATTATGAAGCTTCGTCATAAGAAAAAATGATTGTTATTCTGAATAGTAGAAAGAAAGAGCAATAGTAAAAGAGCGACCCATGAAAGAAAAAGAAATAATAAAAAAAAAGAAGGCAAAACAGGGTCGACATGTTCTTTGGAGCCACCGTATATGTTGGTGTTTTAATTAGTTAAATCAGATATATTTCGCCTATTGCTTCCATAGATGCTCAGACTACCGGCACAGCTACAGCCACGGCCACTCTTCAGGCGTTCTTCGGTTCATTCAGGGTTACAGCGACAAGTGAATGGCTGGGAGGTAAAGTATATCAGTTTGAATGTTTACCTATATTGGTAAATCATTCTTAATCAAAATAGGACTGATCCAGTTTTTCGGCTGTAACAGAGATGCCCTCACTTGAGATATTTTCATGCCGTGGAAATCAGAGGTTCAAACCCGTTTCATAGACAAGGACCAAGAATACACCCCCCCCCCCCAACACAGAAGGACATTTCGACCACAGTTTTTATTTAGAGTTTCTGAAAGGCACATTTGAACTTTAAACAATAGCAAAATCTATGGAGGCTCAGGTGATGAAAATGTCTCTTTGACAAGAAAACGGATGTAGACATCTGATCTTCCAAACCTCTGGGAAGTATATAATGATATAATATTATGATCACAATGACTGAAAATTTAGATACTATTGAAGTAGAACAAACCGCATCATCTGGACATCTATAAATTATCATAGTCTAAAAACCAAAGAAATCCGTCGAAGTGACGTGAGTAACAGCTGCGAACACTCAAATACGACCGAAAACAGTAGCTTTCCGCGAAAGGATATCTCATTCGGAAGTAAACTATACATACATAACTGGCTCCCACAGGAAACCCGCGATGCACGTTCGCTGTTGATGGCGTCGATCGTGATGGGTTTGTCATCAACCTGAAAGATGACGTCAGCTCCTGGCAGCCCGGTGACCAGATCGTGCTGGCCAGTACCGACTACCAGATGGAGCAGGCAGAGGAGTTCACACTACTGCCGTGTGACGAGTGCTCAGATCGACAGGTCAAGATCAACGGTAGGCTCTACGTGTGCACACCTCTACACTGCGTATAATGATGTAGCGTTTAGTCATTTTTAGAAATAGAAGTCCCAACACTACTACTACTACTAAATGTACTAAAGAGCAGAAATTTTCCTTCCAGCTCTTTTAGCTCTGATTGGCGGATATGTTTCCTCAAATGAGATATAGGAAGTCAAGATATAGTGCCTAGAAGCCACTCCTGTTCAATATTTTTATAGAGCCTTGTTAGCATTAGTATTATTTATTTCTTGGGGTGGCGGGACTTCGGCGTACTGTTGTGTCAACTTTGTGTCTTTATATGTTAATTGTATTTTGTTGTGTGGTGCTGTTAAAATAAGTGATAACACTTTCCTTGTTATGTTTTGATGTTTCGATGAATGAAAAAATTGTAGCTATTGTAACGGTACTATGTGTTTATCGTGTATCATTTGGAGATCATTTTCTGTTGTATTGCTCATCTCAAGTTATTTAAAGCAAGACTACAAAGGTACCACTTGCGGAGCAAATGTATTATGTTTAACTTTACACTTTTTAGCCAAACACATCCATACATATGGTGACACGAGTCCATTTACTAATTGCTACATAATGAAACCCAACACCACATGGTGTGTGCAGCAGCAACAGAAGAAAAAACTGAGCAACAACAATACATGTTTCCTTCATTGAAGGTAAACATAAAAATTTAGACATAACATTGAAAGATGTGTGTTTTCTCCAAAAGTTACCCCCATGATTTTCACATTTTATCGATATTAAGATGTGTAAAGACATCTCTGTTCACCATTCCAGGACAGGCCAAGTACAACCACTTCGGAGAGGTGACAGACGATGTGGACCTCCGTGGAGAGGTGGGCCTGCTGACCAGAAACGTCAAGTTCCAGGGCTCGGTGGAAGACAGCTGCTATGGAGACAACTTCTGTCAGTTCTTTGACTACGACACTTACGGAGGACATCTCAAGGCGAGTTCTGTTGTTCATCGCAGCAGATTATGAGAATATATATCGAGAATGATGTACTGAACACGTTACACTTACACACAAAACACCTCCCCATTAACTAGTACAACCGCATAATAACAAAAAACTATTTTTCAGAATAAACAAGCCCGACAAACAATTGTTCTGTTTACTCTTATTCAAACACATTCGTATACATGAATGCATTGACCAGCCCCTCCAGCTCTGTCTTGCTACAAAATGCAGCCCAACACCACAGGGTGTCGGCTACAGCACCAGTTACCATGGTGACAGTCGTCTGGTACAGGCCATTGACCTTATGTACGTCTTGAGAGAAGAACAAGGACAAGAAACAGAGCAATATAATATTTTTCCTTCTGCGAAGGTAAACTTGAAAGAAATAAACATTATTTCCCCATTCATGGCATGCACGTCTACCAGCCATACGGACTATCTGTTTCTTTTCCTCATCTAAACAATGTAAGAAGCTACTTAATTAACATATCTTTTAGATTTTGGCCGGTTTTAAGAACGTGCATCTGTCCGGAGTGGAGTTCACGCGGATGGGTCAGCAGCTAGTGGCCGGCAGCTACCCTGTCCACTTCCACATGGCCGGAGACGTGGACGAGGCCGGAGGCTACAGCCGGCCCACCTATGTCCGAGACCTGTCCATCCACCACTGTTTCTCCCGCTGTGTCACCGTACACGGCACTCATGGGCTGCTGGTGAGTTTTTCATTATTCCATGCCATATTTTATAAATCTAGGTAGTCTACAATATTTTGTTGCGAGACATATATGTAATTCAATACAAATGTCCTTCTCCCCTAATAGGAAGAAAGGGTCCTTAATAACTTGAGATAAAATATCGTTTAGATGGGATATGAGTGATACCTGGATATTCCTGTAATATGTTGTGTTTACCCAAAAAAGTCCTACAAATACTTGGGGTCGTTGCAAGGGTAGGGTCTTTGGCCCGTGTCACCGATCTTGTGCCCACTTTGCAAGACTTTCCTCACTCCACCCAGGTGTAAAATGGGTACCTGACTTCGGCTGGGGAGCCGGTAAAAGGAGACAGAGGTAAAACGATGTGTCCACCGTCCAATACCTTCCATAATTGTTTTTGTTTGTTTTGTTTTCTTTGCATAATAGAATTAGTATGAGCATGTAGCAAAATATGCATGACCATAACAACCGAGTACAAGTATATGGAGTTGAAGATAAAAAGCCCTCATGGCTTGTCCGGGATCTTCCCCCGACCTGGAGAACAAGGCACGGCCCTTACAGCGTCAAGATGGTAGAAGGCTACGGGACTGCCTTTACATACCTTTTACAGAAACATGTGATGACATATTATGTATACCTATATCTGATAGGTCCAGGACACTGTTGGGTACGACACACTCGGCCACTGCTTCTTCCTAGAAGACGGAAACGAGCAGCGGAACGTTCTGGACCATAACCTGGGGCTGGTGACGCGGCCCGGCACCTTACTGCCGTCTGATCGGGACGAGAACATGTGCCGCAGTCTGACAGGCGCCGTGTACGGGGACTACAGGCCTGTGCCGGGGAAAGAGTGCAAGTAAAGGAGTTTAGTTTCTTGATGAGCCTCGTATTTTTCAGGCATAAATGTCGTGATATGTTGCCTTGCGTTCCAATCTTAATTCCTCCCCCCCATTCTTTCAGTATTAGCTGACTCAATCGAATTGTCCATTTTCTCTTAACGACATCAAATTCAATTTCGGGACGGCAAAATGAAAAGTGTTCTGCCATTATTTTACATTTTCGTCATCATTTGATACTTGAAGCGTTTAAAATAGCCCTCAAACAAAATACGTCTCTGTATTTTAGAATCAGCTAACGAAACATGCAGCCGTTTTCTGCCAGCGTTAGTTTTACTGCCCTGAAATCCCTTTAGATGCATTTAATTGACATTGCAACAAGTACACCAGACCCCAAGGACTAAGCCTGAATATTTAATCTAAATGTTTGACATCTGTCCACTCAGAGGCGTGTCTACTTTCTGGATCGCTCATCCCAACAACGTGCTGACAAACAACTCTGCTGCAGGATCTGCGGTAAGGAATATGCCAGTCTTTTTACTATAGTTGATTGCAGTCAAGGAACTGTGTAACAAAGCTCTTGTTGACAAACAACGGTTTTACACGCCGACGTTCCGGTGACGGTCTGTTACCTGAGAACAATACTGACTGAATCTGCATGTACTGCTATTGCACCGGAAGAATTCAGAGGATTACAACTGTGTGCATGTGTAACTCACATTGTCTGGAACTCACTATAAAGGGGCATTATATGTAACCTTTTTGCCACCAAAATTTTATTTTAATGTAATTTTTTTGCTTCCACTTTTAACATATTTGAGTTATTATCTCACATTTCTGACATTTATAGTTTGCGCTAAAATAGCCCACATGAGGCACACTCAGTTTGTGGCACCACCACAAAATACCTGCAAGTAAACAAATATGGTTGTCAGCTGTGTTTCTAGCTTTTAACACACTCAGTACAGTTTTAAATTTTGCCTGAATGGCATTTATTTCCAATGGAATATGGTTAATTCAAGTTACTAAGAAATGACAAAAATATTACCAGAACAATTAACTGTTTTCTATCATCATAATGTTACATAATGCAGCTTTAATGTCATTACTGCATCAATTATAGTTTTAATACCACTTGATTACATCCTTGTACATCCACAGGAGGTTGGAATCTGGTACATTTTCCACAACGCGCCAACAGGCCCGTCTGCCGGGTCCCTGCCATACAAACAAGCCGAACGGACCCCGCTAGGCCGCTTCTACAACAACAGGGTACACTCCAATGCAAGAGTAAGCACAGAAACATTATCTTCCGGAGATATTGTTTGAGTGTGTTTATGTGTTGCGTGTGTGTGTTACACTTGTGCTTTCGTAGGCATTTTAATGCTGGATTTTGTAACCACAGATTGACCTTATGAATTAAGGTCAAGTTGGTAGTCTTAATGGTCTCCCTGCTGATTGTGAGTCGGATATACCCACTTGTCACACGTGTCACAACAAGCTTCTAGCCTGCAATGTTCCTTTACTAGGCACGCTGAAAGTATCAGACTATCTCGCTGGGTGTGCCAATAAATTCTCAAAAACACATCTTTGCTCGCATACAACTTTACGTATGTGTCGTTGATTCGTACCATCTGCCATCTGTTACAGCATAACTGTAGATTGTTTTATCTCTCAAGCTATCCGATATCTAGCACGTAATACATCTGGAGCCACATAATTCCCGTTTAGAACTTTTATTCTGTCTGTCGGTTTCTTTAAATGTATAGAGACCAAATGACAAGTTCACAAAATTCTCACTTTTATAACTTTTCAGTGCATGCAAGGAAGCTTGCTGCCCGATGTGCCATCAGGCACAGGGGGAAGTGAGGTCTAAGGTCTAAGCAAGGACCTTGGTCTAAGTAAGTGCATGCAAGGGGCGGCTGTGGTGTGCTAGATGCCGGTTAGACTGTGGAATGAACTATGACTACTATGCACTGCTTATTTGCATTTATTTTCCGTTTTCTCTCACTCTCATCACAGCGAGGATTGGTGATAGACGACCGTGTGAAGACAACACAAGCTTCTGCCCGGGCTCCCCAAGAGTACCTGTCTCTGGGAGCACCAGGACAAGGGTACTGTACCGGGATCTGTATTCGATTATATTGATTGTAGTTTATATAGTAATAAAAGGAATGATCTTTTTAGATATATTACAAGTACGTTTCCATACTTCCAATACTTGCCTAATATTGAAAAATTTATCTTTCTTATTCGCTTTGATAATCCTGTATTATACAAACCCATTTCAAATTATATTTTTAACATCACGAAGAAACGAGAAGAAGCCGAACTTCTGTATTAGAGTATCTTTAGAGCTGTTTGTACTACAAACATGTATATATTACCCATTTCATCTGTTCGCCTGTACTTAGCCCCATAGGGCATATAAGAATGTACAATAAAGGTTATTATTATTATTATAAATGGGACATGGAGCAGTAGATAAAGAAAGCCATTTGTATCCACAATCAAAGAGTTCATATCTAAAGCGACGGTCACAACTCGCCGTGCGTGCTTTTTGTCCGTACGTTTTTGTCGTGGCTACGTCTGCTACGTTTTTTCTGCAAACGTAGGGTGGCCGGCCGAGAGAGTACGTCACTCGCAAGGTGTACGTACGTGGTCTGCACGACACGCCTGGCCGTCAGCGGTTGCGTGCATCGTACGTTGCGCAAGTGGTAAGTGAGTTGTACGTGCTTACAACGTACGATCTCTGTGCGATTGCCACGTTGCCGCGTACAGGCCGTACCTACACGTGCGGCGTGCGCACGATTTCCTTACTCACTCGCACGTTGTAAGTGCGTGCACCTCCTGTTAACTTCATCATCACTAGCCGCCCTGGTGTCTTCCGCGGCCCGTTTCTTTGGATCTTGTCTGGTAGACTTCTTTTGAGCCTTCCTGGGCATCTTGGAGACGAGTTGGCAGTCGCCCGTCAAGTCGTCTTTATATACTGTAGAAATAAGGTGCGTTGCACGTGCGTTGCACGTGCGAGCACCTAGTATGGTGCACGTGTGTTCTGCGTGGTCATTGAGCAGGTCAACTGGGAAGTGAGGAGTAAGCACGGATGACGCAAGCACCGTGCGTGGCACGCACGTGCTTCGTGCGCTGTCCGTACAGCAATTGCACGTGAGAATAGTGAAGTTAGACTCACGGAGTCCGTACGTTGCACGCTCATAGGCTGTACGGGGCACGCGCGTCGCACGTACTCGCACGCACGGGTGGTAAATCCGCAGACCGCACGTAGAAAAAGTATTACATGCACTTAAGGTTCTACGGCGTGTCTGCGTGCTCCCAAATCCGTAGGATTCCGTACGGAGGCGGTACTCACCACGCACGGATGCCGTACGTTTGCCCACGTTTTTGCACGTAGACAGCACGCAGAAGCACGTACGGCGAGTTGTGACCGAGGCTTAACCGATTGACGTTTCGATGACTGTCTGTACAAAGACAGGCAATGCATTACATTGCAGCTAGGTGTCGCTGTTGCAATGTGAATAATGCGGTCCCAAAAGTGACTGAATTTACATTGTTTATCACGGTTCATGACTTTTCTTTTCCATAATCCAACGTGTGCGTTTGTTCTAAACTCTGTCTATCACCTTGGCCCCTTCCCAGTCTATTACATACACGTTCCTTGTGATCGATATGTTTCTCACGCTGCAGCAGCGACACCTAGCAGTAGTGTTAGGTATTACGAGTTAGTATTACCCGAGGAAGGCGACAGAAACGCAGGCTATGGTCCGGACTACATCAATCATTCACATCATCATGTGTACCCACCACTGAAGTGAATCATTAGTGAATAGAGAATGATTTAGACAATGAGTTGGATTTTTTCAACATTGCCCTGGTTCGAACTATAGTGGCGTTGGGTGGTATAGTGGTTAGAGCAATCAACTATGAAGCGGGGAGACCCGGGTTCGATTCCGAGTCGTACCCGGTACATGTCTAGACGTCTGGACATGCGCCCCGACGTTGTGCCCTTGGGAAAGGCACTTTACACGACTTTCCTCACTCCAGCCAAGTGTGAATGGGTACCTAACGTCGGTTGGGGAAAGTCGTATTGAGGTCACCTTGTGGCGCCGAATGGTAGCCGCACAGACCCTTGCGACAGTTCCACAAAAATAATTGTGGAACAAATAGTATTATTTGATTGTTGTAATTGTTGTGATTTGTATTGATTATTATGTGATACCCTGCATCAATTCAGCCGTATAAAAAGGCTGCGACTGCACGGGTACTGGTTGGACAATAAAAACCAAAAACCATTTAAACTAATATTTCCTACATGAACTGTCCCCACTCCCCAGGTACTTCCCCCACCAGAATGCAGACCTGTGGCAGCCCCGTGAGCCCGCCATGATAGAAGGACTGATCGCGTACAAGAACCAGGCCGGAGCGTGGATCAGGGGAGGGGACATCTGGCACGATAAAAACGCGTGAGTTTAGATGTTCATCTGCGAAGTTTTTACCTCCATGAAATGTGTCATGGAGGTTATATTTTCAGTTGCGTTTATCTGTCCGTCTGTCCGTCTGTTGGTCAACAAGATAACTCAAGAACGCCTGAATGGATTGTTTTCATACTTGGTGTGTTGGTAGGGTGTGACGAAAACTGGAAATGATTAGATTTTGGGCCCCCTAGTGGCTTCCCTTGGTACTGCAGCGCAACTTCCGGTTTTGATATCTCGCGATCTGGACATGCTAGGGTCATGAAATTCGGATGGAAGGTAGCTCTTGTCCTCGGGAAGAAGTCACGTGAGTTTGGTCCCCCTATCGGCTTGTTCTGGAACTGCAGGGTGGTTTCTTTGAAAATCTTCGAGAGAGGATAACTGAACAACCGTTTGATGGATCATCATGATTTTTGGTATGTAGGTAGCTTAAGTGATGCTTGACATAATCAAAATATAATTATGCAAATCAGGATCTAATTTGCATAATTAATGAGGAAATTCTATAAATCAGCTGTATTTCATATTAGGGCTATAAAACTCTATAGACATATGTTAGTGAGAACGACAAGATCATTGGCAGATATCGATTATGTAAAGGAAGACCTAATTTGCATAATAAATGGCAAATTGGTACAATTTTATGGTGGTAACTGCTGGGAATTTAATACTTGCCATAATTGGAAGTTTAGTGAAGGTGAACATCACTAAACATAATTTATGTCAATCAGGACCTCATTTGCATAATTTATGAGGAAACGCTAGAATAGCCTTATTTCTTAAGATAACCCTGTCATTTGGTGGAGAGTATGATCAATTGATACAATATATGCAAATGGCCTCATATGATTTGAATATATGCGGTGAAAAATGTAAGCCAATTACAGGTGGTCATCACCATGCGTAAGATTTATGAAAACACTACACATGTCATGGAGGTATGAGATCATCGAACTCTAGTTTTAAAATGATTTTCTATATGAGTTAAACAGACATTACGTCTCATATTCTTCATGTAATCAGAGTTACATTTATGCTACTCACCTGTTTGTTGCCCGTGTATGAATGTACAAATGTATAGTAATTGTATCCAATATCAAATATCTTTGCAATGCACGAATAGTACAAGGAAACTAGCCCATACTTTGCCAATGATTGGGTCATACATGTATATGGTGGTTGACTATGATGATGATGATGATGATGATGATGATGTTGAATCCAATATGATCATGATCAATTCAGTTGTAGTTCGCCCATTTCTTATTACATTATTCTTTTCAGGTTTGTGGACAACGGTGTGGGTCTTACAATGGCGAGGTAAGACAGTGGTTCATCCGCACTGTTATCATAGAGACGAATAAAAATAGCTCTCCTTGCGTCAGTTTTGATAGTGGATAGCCATTCTCAAATTATGAACAAAAGCACTAAGGCGTGTGGTCACAAACTAAATGAATGATGTAATTAAAAACAATTATGACTGAGAGTTTTTTTTTAAATTTCAACGTTTCATTACTTGACATGGTGACGGCACACTCAAGTTATTTCATCTTATTTTAAATTCATGCTGCCACCTACGCAGTGGACAAATTCAGGACAGGACAATACTCGTTTATAATCACTTGAGTTAAGTGAGGAAAGTCGTCTAAAGTGCCATTTTTAAGGGCACAAGATCGGTGACTCGAACTTGGGACCTCTTGGTTCCGAGTCAAGCACTATACCGCTACGCCACACGACCCCACTATGACTGAGAGTTAGAGACAATAGTGCTCATGCCTGTTCTGTCACAAGGGTGAGACCATTTCGGTCCTGATGTTCATGCACCTTATGCATGCGGAGTTATGTATTATATAATTGATTTTATTTGTGATTTGTATTTTTCAAATGACTTACCACTGTCTTATTTTGCAAAGTTCGGGATTTTTCCCAAAGGACGTCGGCGGAACCCAGCAGATTCGGAACAGTATTTTCATCGGTGAGAGCGCGAACGTCGGTACAAACATACCGGGAGTATCAGCCTGGGGAGTGGGCGGAGTCAGGGCTGTGGAGAGGAGCTTTCCGAGCTCAGTGTAAGGGTTTTCTTTCGTAGCCTAGATTCATTTTTAAACACTTTAAGTAAATGATTCAAATGCCAAGCAACCGTTCATGTTAATGCTAGCAAAAGATTTAAAACGGTTAAAACGGTTAAAAGTCATGACATTTGGTGATTTCAATCTTCGTCAGGATTTCTGGTACAGTTTTACTTAGATATCCTGAAATGCCGCATTCGGTACAGTCCTCCGGGTTTTACTGGCTCACTAATGCAGAGTCACGCTTATTGTAAATCATAGAAAAATGACAATATTTTTTTACTAAAATAATTATAAAGTCAGCTAATATGTATAGATACAAACTTTGTAATATCTGCTTTTGGACTTCATTAATGACAGAAAATAGCATATGCAATACAACTCCTTATTGAGTTAGGATTGACAGATGATAATACACAGCACAAAATCCATTTTCAAGCCCTTTAAGCACACCTTTAAGTGTGCGTGAAGGCTCCGTCTCTTTCCTCGCGTGTACCATTTACGCATACGTTTATGTGTGCATAAGGGTAGAATTTAGTACAGTGATAGTTTCTGTATGGAATTGTTTCTAAACCCCTTTATTTTTAGATCCTTCCCAATGCGAGGTGTTGACTATTACGACGGTCCGACCATAGCCCGGAGCTGCACGTTTAAGAAGTACGCCTCGGCACCGGAGTATAACCGCTGGAGCAGCGCCATCGGCTGGAGACTCACGAACGACTGGCACATGACGCCGAAAAACAACGCCACCAACCTGAAGTTTGAAGACGTAAGAGAAGTAGCTTCCTGCTTTATTTATTTTTTTATTCATTTATTTTATTAGCACATACATACATAATGAAAATTATGCAAACAATACAAAGGAAATAAACCTGCAAGAGGTGGAAGAAAAGCCACAATGGCTTATTTAAAGTCCTCCCCATCATGATTTTACAATTTCTACAGTTATATCAAATGAAATATAAATAAGAATGAAGAAGTAATAAAAAGATAATAAACAAGTATGATGAAAAGAATGAATCAATTAATAAACAAAATAATCAAGTTTGGCTTAAATAATGAACCAATAAGGTGAACCAAACTAGATAAGTAGCCATCAATCGTACAACCCTTTTTTCGACGACAAAAGCATTGACTGGGTTTTCAAAGTCAATTTTTCTGGTAATTTTTATAATATTATAGTAAGTTGAATCAATCCCATCCCATATAATATCTGTGGAACAAAAATGAGATGTAGTCGCTGATGGAAAATGGTTGCTTGTTCTGTGTCGTAGACTGGTTCTAGCTTTTTATGGGTGGTATCCAAAAGCATAAAGCCTTAAGTTGCTTGATTTGTGCGTTTTGCTTTGTGCTTATTCAAACACCTAAAGTATAAAATGATGACGAAAATGTGCTAAGAAATGGCAGTAAATGCCAATAGAAGACCGATTTTCTCGTCCAGAATTTGTTTTGCCGCCCTAAAATAGCATTGAATGCCTTTACAAACTACTGTCACTACGTTGCAAGGTTTAAATGATAATTCAAGGTTACATGAACAGGCCTACAGCAGAATATCTTTACCCTACAAGTATATGTAAGTCAGAGACATGATGCCAAGGATTCGATCCCGAAACCTTCAGAGTCAACAACCGTAACCACGAGAACCTTGTGTTTGTCCAGGTGCAAACCCGCGTGTTCACTACCGGACCAAACATCCCCCACATGTCACACAACAGGGATGGAGACAAGAACCAGATCTTCCACGACCTGGACGGGAGCGTCACGGGCTATCCTGACACGTACGTGGCGAGGCAGGATAACTACCTGGTGAAGAACCCGGGGTGTGTGGACAAGCCGGAGTGGCGAGCCAGTATCTGCAGCGGAGAGTTTGCACAGGTGAGGATTGATCACTCGTTTCACAAAATCTATTCTTAAACACATATCAAAGCATGCTGAAATCCCTGTACAGTGGAGTAGCGCCCATCGAGTGTCTTCGGCTTATCTTGTCAAAATGTGTGTCAAAAACACACGGATTTTGTGTGCTATGCCCCGCCAATATGCCAACATCTGCACATTTGCAACCAATAGCCGTTAGTTTTTTAAGCATGTTGAAAGGTTCCGTTTCTTCCCTTGGGTGTACCGTTACGCATGCTTGTCAGTTTGACATTTTGTCAAAAATGTCAAACTGTCAAGTTGAATGTTTTCCATCAGATTTTCGGTATATGGTTAGTAATATTGTGGTCCAGATGACGTGTTTTTCTTCGTATCTGTATTTTGAGGTATTAAGATAAAATGAGTGCACATCTCCGTGTTGTATTTGGCGTAGTTCCGTCTACAAACAGATTTTGTTATCCAGGGTATACCACACTACTTTCAGGATGGGATTTAAACCTGTATCATGTATCATAATTGTAATATCATCCATATTTTGCGTTATGTAGCGTTACAGGCAATATATTTGTTGATATGCTGTCTGAAATGGTCAAAAATTGTTGTGAACACAAAGCATTATATACCTTGCAGTGGTTGGAATCTCAGATTTCTTCTTGCCGTTGTTACCTACATACAAACAGGTGCTCTTCCGTGCCCTCCCGGCGGCCCCCCGTACAATGACGATTGTCCGTGACGAGTACCCGGATCATTCGATGACCATGGCGGGTCCCAGAGAAATGGCCACTAAGAACTACCAGCCTGTGGTGACGCTACAACAGTCATACACCATCCACTGGGACACACGGGCTCCAGAAGAGATCGACATCTATCTCGAGAACTTTGACAGGTAGCCCGTGTCTATCCTACCGTGGCCGACAGGTACAATAAGTAATATATTGTGCCTGTCTGCTTATTGTACCTGTCGGCTACGGTACTATACATTAATAAACAGCAGTTTCGAGTTTCCTTTCCACTTTAGGATGGCGCTTGCACTGTCGAGCGACTGTTGAGTGACTTAGATATTTCAAAGACAAAAACTGGCGTTTTGTATACATTTGTGTATTTTGTTGTTTTATTGAAGTGGCGGCACGTCACATCTGATAAACTTTTAGAAAATATCTCTTCTTCGTTAGAAAGAGATGATGCAATGCAATTGTGCTACTAACTTCAGTATTATTAGCAATTCAAAGTGACTAATTATTTGAGTCGCACATCGTCATCACACTCACGCCACTCAACCAGCTATTACCAACTTCGCCCCGGGCTAGCTTTTTTAAAGCATTCCTTGTTTAACATATCGTGTGTTCATCATTGTTCCGTGTAGCGGAGATTGGGTTCGCCTGGGTCTGTGCTATCCTCCGGGAACCACGTTTGACATCAAGTACCAGCTGGAGCGGCGCATCAACAAGAAGGTGACGTACGAGGAGGACATGTCAGCCGTGTCCAGTCTGACTGAAGTGGAGGCAGGCAGCGGAAAACTCTTCTATTTCGAAGAAAGCACAGGGTAAAGTAAACTTTGTGTTTTAAAGTGTTCCTGAAATGAAATTTCGACTTCCTTCCACGTAAAAATTTAGTATTTTCTAAAAACTTTATAATTTTCAATCATTTATATAATTAAACATTAGACAGAGAGGAATTTACCTAAAACAGTGATCTCGAAGTGTTTTTTTTTCTCTTCTTAGACTATTTAGCCACGGGCTGTGATGTCATGTAAATAATCATGACTCCCCCACAGCTCTATACATAAGTATGGGGTTATGAGGTATAAGACTAGGTGTCATCTAAGACGTCTATGGCTATTAAAATTTAAAATAAGCTATACCGAAACTTAACTACATAAACTTTCAGATATATACATGTGCCATGCAACAGCTCATTATGCCAGAGGATTGTTGGTTTATTTAGATGCATTTGTTGCACTTGATGCACCGCTTTATAGAAGGAGAACGTGTGCAGATTCCGTCTTCAGACTGTAGTGTTTCAATATGAGTAGATGTACGTAAATGAGTAATCTGGCCGTTCTCTCCCACAGCCTACTGTTCTTAAAGGCGCGCGCTCATGAGGTCCGTAGCGGAGACGACTACTGCTCGGATGCGGGCTGTGAGAGGATCGTCATCACGGCCACCATGACAGGTGACCAGGTCAGCGACTGCCGAGCCTCGGCCTACCCCAAGTACAGCCTGACCCCAACACAAGCCGTTCCCCTGCCGAGCTTCATGAGTATGGTTCAGGACTGTTCAGGGTGTGGAGCTCAGGTGAGTTCACGTAAGGCCATGTTGATTTGATTATATTGATGAAATACTCTGGGAACCCCCAAAAAATCGAGTGTGCGACTAAAAAAATGTCCCGTTCCACTCTATGCAGAGCATAGGGGTGGTGCTATCTCCATTTCTGGGCGACACACAGTTTTGCAAGACATTACAGCAGGGGGCTAGTCCGCTGGTAGTGCTGTGTGTTTGACCTACCCACACTCTTTCTCATATGTGCTGAGTGCTAAGCAGAGAAAGAAGTGTGTACCATTTTGAAAGTCTTTGGTATGACCCGGCTGTGGTTTGACCTCACGACATCCCGGTTGCAAAGTCAAAGCAAGCACTCCAATTGAGCTTTGCACCGGTCACTAAAAAAAGGTTGGCAAAAAAGTTCCCTTCATTATGAAATCTACGTGGTCATGAAGGTTGTACAAATGACTAAACACACAGGAGTATGGTATTGCGAAGGATAGACTCTTCATTTTCAATTGTTCAGATTTTCTTCTTTTGCTTTGAAATTGATTTTGGCATTCTGCAACATTAGTATCGTTTTCAAATATTAATTTGCAATTTAATTTTAATTTTTCACTTAAATTAAAATTAACTGCATATATTTTCTAGTTTTCCAGCTACTTCGTACGATTTACAGTATAGTGGAAAACACGCAAATGTCGTCCATATAATCAAATCAACATGGTATAAATTTCACATAAGTCCCTGTCACATATAGCCAGGGATGGCTGATCCCCGTCCTTCAGGGGCCATGATCAAATTGGCCACCAGATACCATTGGAATCTTGAGATTAGACCATAGCCTCCAGTACTGGATGGAACCTGCAGTTGCTTGCATAGCAGCCTACCGATGATTATGATGACTAAGACATGTTTTATGATGATATGGAATGTTGACGTTTCTTTAGTTTGTCTTAATTATTCCCGGATTCCCATGTTCATGACGTCTGTAGGAACCGATCGTGTTTGACGCTGCTGTCCGGTTCCTGGAAGTGACTGCTGTGTCTGCAGGTTGGGAGGAGCTGCAGCTCGGACACCGTTCGTACATAGAGGTACAGTACAGGCTGGCAATAGTTGTTATTGCTATTGGGCGGGCCTGCTACTCTCTCTTTGCAGCCAAGGGCTGAATTATGAGGAGCTTACAACTATTGGGGCATAATCGCAATGGTCTGGAGCGGCTGCCATTCGGTGCTAACTCAGGTGGCCTCAATGCGACAATATGTTGAACCTTGCCAACGGATAGGACTTTTACATTAAGAATTTATGTAATGGAATAGCGTATACTTGATGTTCGTCCATCGTTGTCGATGGGGTGTAGGGACTCATAATGACATTATTTTCCTAATCAATAAGGCATTATTTTCATAATCAATAAGGCAAACTCAAAACCAAATATTTGCAAAAGCTCTAAATATTTCATGGAGGTATGAAATCTCTGAATGCTTCTTTAATAAAAACATTCTTAAACATAGTGAAGATGATAATCTTAGTTATCAATCAACTTATACTGGTCGATCAACTGGCTAGGTTACATTAATGAATGTCCTATCCCATCATCCTTTGCAATACACATCCCACAACACGTGTCCCAGATGGCTGACTGTCAGCACCAGGCATATAGTCTTGTCATGTTTCCTTTAAAAGTGCAGCAATGGCAACAATTTGACCAGTAATTTTTGGTTCTTTGAATTATCAAAAGGACTCAAGTAGTGTATGAGGCTATCTGACTTTTGTAACTTATGTACAACTTCTTACATTGTGTCTTAAACATTTATGCAAACATTTGCTTCAAAAATGGTGCTCAAACTTCACCAAACTAAAGTGCTTTTCTACAAACTCTGTTGATTGGTGATATTATACATCTTGTGCATCAGAAAACCCCAAATGCACCAAAAAGCACCCATGGGAAATGGAAGAAAATTGCACTTGTTTGATGATTATTACATAAATAATATCAAATATAATATTTTCTTCTGTTTCCCATGGGTGCTTTTTGGTGCATTTGGGGTTTTCTGATGCACAAGA